TCTGGGTCGGAAGGGGCTGCCCGGTTCCTATTCGCATGAGGCTCTGAGGAAGCAGCCAGGAGTTTCTCTCCAGCAGCAGGATCATCTGGCCTGGTGGGTGCTCCAGCTCCAGCAGGCAGGACGAGGTCTTCAGGGGAAGAGGTCCCAGACGTGTCAGGACTGCTGCTGGCCTTCGGACCGGAGGGTTCAGGGACAGCTTTGGTCTGAAGGAGCTGCAGCTCCGTGCCTCGAGGCTCATTCACAGCTATGCGGGGTCGCGCAGCCTGGCCTGGGCTGGAATCCCCCGCAGCCGTCCGCAGCTTTGTCCACCAGATGAAGGGGAACTTCTCCTTGCTAGGAGCAGCGTAAATCCTGGAGGCCTGGCTCAGCTGGCCCCACCAGCCACTGAGGCCAGCCCTGGCATCCTGAGGGCCTGCCTCCGGTCTGGGGGTCTCCAGCGAGCTGTCACCTCCCAGGAAAGTGCGACTGAGCTGGTCGCCCCACCGCCGCACGTGCTGGAAGGTCTGCTGCAGGGCGGCCCCAACCTGGGGGCCAGGGACCAGCCTGCGCACAGCTGCCTGGGACTGGGACCTTGCGCTGCCCTCTGCACCGGCTGCCCTGCCCAGAGCATCGGGCGGGATCTCATCTTCCAGGCTTGCCCCTGCAGCACTGCTCTGGCCCTCCAGAGAAGGCCGCGCAGCCCCCCGAGCCTGAGCGGCGTGATGGGCAGGAGATGGGGGTGACTCCAGCCGACGGGACAAGGGTCTTATATCCACGGAGAGGTGGTGGTGTTCAAAGAGCAGGTCAAGGTGGAAAGTCAGCACTGAGAGGGGCTGGATGAGCAGCAGCAGTTCATCAGCGAGGTGGGGAAGAGGGCCTTGACTCAGGGCAAAGAAGGCCATGGGTGAATACAGCACGGAGATTACACCTACGAGACACGGACAGTGCTGGACAGCTGCAAAATGCCCTGCCCTTGCCCACACGTCCCTCCCAGGGCCAACTGGGTCCATCCTAGCGGGTCCAAATGATGCTCCAAATGGTCTGCCCGACTGCCCTTGTTCAGCAAGACAGCCACGGAAAACGATGCCCTTGTCCACTAAGGAAATCCCAGCGAAGCATTGCGGGTGGAACAAGTATGGGCTTATCACTGGGGCAAGCGGGAGAGGACCTGGGCAGGGAGCTTTCTGGGTACTGTGTCCTTACCTGGGCTCTTCTGCAGGTGAGAGATCCACAGCTCCAGCTGCTTAATGCTAAACAAGACGAAGGGAACCCAAGTTAGAGCTCCTGGGACGCTGCTCCAACCTGCCATCGCAGCAAGGACAGCCTGGGCCATCAAGGGCCAATACTCACTTCAAAAGGCCGAGGATAAAGGCATGGAACTTCTGTCTGGCGCTGTTGAGAGGGGCCAGCCCGGCCACGTGCCAGCACAGGGAGTGGAGGGAGCGGGTGTTGGGGCCTGTGGAATACACAACACAGACAGTCATGGCTCCAGGGGCACATCCTCCCCCAGCCCGGGCTGGAAAAGGACTCCAGGCACCTTGAGATGGTGATCCCAACATCTCCAGAGCATGTTCCTCACACTGACCTGTCTTCACGGAGGCTTCCACCACACTCCAGGGGGAATTTTTCCTCTGGCCTGTGATAACATCCTTCTGGAACGGCTTCAGCCCGTCCTCCACCAAGGCATAGAGCGCAGGGCAGAGGGTGTGCAGCAGCAGGTAACCCACATCTGGGCTGAGCCGGCTGTCTCCCAGCTGGGCCTGAAGTAGGGAGGCAGAAGGAGAGGAGAGGGAGGGGAACGGCAGCACCTAACCCTGAGCCTGCAGGATGGGATGGTGGGATCTTCCCGCTGGAGCTCCCAAAGCCTCTCCTACCCAAAGCCTGCATGGACTGCCCTCACTCCTGCCCACCCCAGCCCGAGCCCCAGCCCAGCCCCTCACCTTCTGCACCAGGTTTCGTGCAGTGCTGAAGTGGGCGATAACCTTGTCCACGGCGGTGCTGATGGCGATCAGCAGGGCTGTTGGGCAACGGAAAGAGAGATGTC